CAACTTTTAAAAATTAAGAGGGAGGCCAAGGTGGGCAGATCACCTGAGGCTGGGAGTTCAAGACCAGCCCGGCCAACATGCAGGAAACCCTGTCTCTACTAAAAATACAAAAATTAGCTGGGCATGGCAGCGTGTGCCTGTAATCCCAGCTACTAGGGATGCTGAGGCAGGAGAATCGCTTGAACCTGGGAGATAGAGGTTGCAGTGAGCCAAGATCGCACCATTGTACTCCAGCCTGGGCGACAAGAGCGAAACTCCGTTTGAAAAAAAAAAAATTGAGAGGGAGAATAAAAGACCAAAGATTCTGCTGCAAAAGACACAAAGATAACCTGGGAAAAAAAGACATAAAATGGCCTTAAACATATGAAAAAATGTTCAGCTTCATTCATAAGATAAAAATTAGAACTATCCTGACATATAATTTCTCACCCATCAGACTGGCAAAAGTTTCAATGCCTGACAATATAATTAGTCAGGCTGTGGGAAAATAGACACTCTCATTTTTTTTTTTTTTTTTTTGAGAAGGAGTTTCACTCTTGTCGCCCAGGCTGGAGTGCAGCGGCACAATCCTGGCTCACTACAACCTCTGCCCCCCAGGTTCAAGTGATTCTCTTGCCTCAGCCTCCTGAGTAGCTGGGATTACAGGCACACACTGCCATACCCAGCTAATTTCTGCATTTTTAGTAGAGGCTTCCCATGTTAGTCAGGCTAGTCTCGAACTCCTGACCTCATTATCCACCCGCCTCAGCCTCCCAAAGCACTGGGATTACAGGCCTGAGCTTCCGTGCCCAGCCCGGGAACTCTTACATATCACTGGTGGGAACAGAAAATAGTACAACTCCTATAGAGGGGGATTATCTTTTGACCCAGCAATCTCACTTCTAGGAATTTTTTACCATGAATATACATTTCCAATAATACAAAAACATATATGTCCAAGGTTATATATTAAAATATTAGATGTAATTGCAACATACTACTTAGATGTCCAAGTATAAGCAATTATTTGAATAATAATATATCCACACCAGGAAGTATTACGTAACTATAAAAAACAGAATGAGGACAATCTACCAACTAATACAGTATTTCTAGGAGATACTATTAAGTGGGGGAAAAAAGTACAATCCTGGTGCTGACTGAAGAATTTTCTTAAAAGTACAAAAGAATATATATATATAAAATATGCTATCTTTCCTGTAAGAAATTAAGAGGCCAGGCGCGGTGGCTTGTGCCTGTAATCCCAGTACTTTGGGAGGCCCCAGCGGGTGGATCACCTGAGATCAGGAGTTCAAGACCAGCCTGGCCAACATGGTGAAACCCCGTCTTTACTAAAAATACAAAAATTAGCTGGGTGTGGTGGCAGATACCTGTAATCCCAGCTACTTGGGAGGTTGAGGCAGGAGTATCACCTGAATCCAGGAGGCGGAGGCTGCAGTAAGCTGAGATTGCAGCACTGCACTCCAGCCTGGGTGACAAGAGTGAAACGCTATCTCAAAAGAAAAGAGAAAAGAAAAAGAAAAAAATTAGAATTAAAAAACAATCCTCTCATCTTTGCTAAAAGGATTAAGGGACAGATTAAACCAGAAGACAATGAAGTTGGTAAGTACAAGGGGTTGAGGGCAGGGGATAATGGAATTAATTGTGCTGATGTTGGGAGCCAGGGTTCTCACTGAGAAGAGACATATGAATAAGGAATTAATGCAGACAGGAAAAAAGCCCATGATGATGAATTAGAGGTATTAATGTGAACTGCTGATTTCCTAAAAAGAAGTAAATGTGTGTATGTATACTGGCATATATGTATACAGCACATAACATGCATATATTTCCTAGTTCTGTCAGCCAAAAGGGCCAAGATGCAAAAATATTCCAGTAGATGAAAAGATCTTGGTCTCTGACATGACTCCCTTGTAAAAGCACCAGGACTCCTCAGAGAAGTGGCTGATTCCAGGGCAGGGGAGGTACAGGATGCACTTGGAGTATTTAGTTATGCCAAAAAGGATGGAGATGCTAAAAAGAAAAAAAATACGATGAGGATATGCTATAAGGATATAGGAGCCCATCTGAAGGGACTCCCAGTGGCCAAATTTGGAATAATCTGAGAACCTAGCTAATTATGTATGCTAATAAATCATAAATCATTGAAAAAATAGGAATTCCTGTGTCCATAAGAAGTAAAAAAGTGAACAGATAAAGAAAATGTAGTACATATACACCACGGAATACTATGCAGCCATAAAAAAGTAATGAGATCACGTACTCTGCAGCAACATGGATGGAGTTGGAGATCATTATCCTATGCAAACTAACGTAGGAAGAGAAAACCAAATACCCTCTGATCTCACTCACAAGTAGGAGCTAAAAAAACAAGAACACATGGACACAAAAAGGGGAAGAGAAACCAGGGCCTTCTTGAGGGTGAACTGTGGGAGGAGGGAGAGGATCCAAAACTACCTCTCGAGTGCTATGCTTATTACCTTGGTGACAAAATAATTTGTATATAAAACCCCTGTGACAAGCAGTTTACCTATATAACAACCCTGCACATGTACCCCAGAACCTAAAATAAAAACTAAAAATGCTAACTAGTAAATGTGGAGAGAGCACTAGATTTGCAAGGGGGAAATCATCTTTTCGCAACCTTAATAGTAAAGATTGGGCCAGGCATGGTGGCTTACGCCTATAATCCCAACACACTGGGAGGCCAAGGTGGGGACATCGCTTGAGCCCAGGAATTCAAGACTCCAGTGGGCTATGATTGTGCCACTGCACTCCAGCCTGGGTGATAGAGTGAGACCCCATCTCTTAAAAATAAAAAAAATTTAAAAATTACACATATATATAAACATACACAGAGAGAGAGAGAGAGTGCACGCAAATGACGAAGCAGATGGAGTAAAAGGTTAACAAAAGTTATGTGGGTATTGTTTGTATTCTTATTCTTGCAACTTAAGTTTGAAATTATTTCCAAAAAGAAGTTTAACAATTATTTTGGACACAGAGTTGAGGTAACTGTAAAATGAAACACTCCCAGCATTGGAGCAGTCCACTTAGATTTCTCCATATGTAAAATGAAAGAGTTGAACTAGATGTGTCTGAAGACTCCATTCTCTCCTAAATTTATATTAGGAGTGTGACCAAAGAGTAAATTAGAGCTTCTTTAAGAAATTGTTCTGTCAGGCTGGAAACAGTGGCTCACGCCTGTAATCCCAGCACTTTGGGAGGCTGAGGCTGGTGGATCACCTGAGGTCAGGAGTTCAAGACCAGTCTGACCAACAAGGTGAAACCCTGTCTCTACTAAAAATACAAAAATTAGCCGTGCGTGGCGGCGGGCACCTGTACTCCCAGCTACTCGGGAGGCTGAGACAGGATAATTGCTTGAACCCAGGAGGCAGAGGTTGCAGTGAGCCGAGATCATGCCACTGCACTCCAGCCTGGGCGATGTAGCAAGACTCCATCTCGAAAAAAACCACGAATTGTTGAAGAGGAAAAACACCCCAAAAGTACTTTTCTGATTCTTCTCATTGGGATACTACCAAACATCTAACAATGGAATTTCTATTTCTGCCGAATCTCATATATTTAGAATCAGGGAAAAAGAGTATAGTTTTTATTTGTTAGCGACAGATTCTTGCTCTTGTCACCCAGGCTGGAGTGCAGTGGCATGATCTTGGCTTACTGCAGCCTCTGCCCCCTGGGTTCAAGCAATTCTCCTGCCTCAGCCTCCCAAGTAGCTGGGATTATGGGCACCCGCCACCACCCCCAGCTAATTTTTGTATTTTCAGTAGAGACAGGGTTTCACCTTGTTGGCAAGGCTGGTCTCAAAACTCCTGACCTCATGATCTGCCTGCCTCAAACTCCCAAAGTGCTGGGATTACACGTGTGAGCCACCACGCCCGGCCAGTATAATTTTTTTATCCATAGTTAACGGCTACTTGAATTTACTTCACACGTACTCCATAATTCTCTACATTATTCTACTGTGGTTTACTCTTAGAAACAAGTTCCACATCAAGGGGAAGGTGGGGTGATATTTCCTTTATCTTACCACTGACACATTTCTTATCAAGGTGCCTGAAACATGTTATTGGTCTAAACAGAAATCCCATGGCTTTTCTAGGTTTAACTATAGGTTAATCAGAATATGCCTGGTCCATCTCAGCTTCATTTTCTTTCTTTTTTTTTCTTTTTTTGAGACGGAGTCTCACTCTGTCGCCCACGCTGGAGTGCAATGGCAGGATCTCGGCTCACTGCAACCTCCGCCTCCCAGGTTCATGCCATTCTCCTGCCTCTGCCTCCCGAGTAGCTGGGACTACAGGTGCCTGCCACCACACCCAGCTAATTTTTTCTATTTTTTAGTAGAGATGGGAGTTTCACCATGTTAGCCTGGATGGTCTCCATCTCCAGACCTCGTGACCCACCTGCCTCAGCCTCCCAAAGTGCTGGGATTACAGGCGTGAGCCACTGCGCCCGGACGCTTCATTTTCTTCTAAGACCCAGGATCATATGTTTGTGTCGTGTGTTCAATGGGTAATCAATGATTTTATTTTGATACTCATAATTCCCTTAGAATCAGAGTCAAAGGGCTTTATTGCCTAACTTCATTGTTTATTTTTCTTCCTTGATCAACTTCCACTCCAGTTTGCTATTAATAGTCACCTGAAGGCCAGGAGTGGTGGCTCACACCTGTAATCCCAGCACTTTGGGAGCCCGAGGTGGGCAGATCACCTGAGGTCGGGAGTTCAAGACCAGCCTGGCCACCATGGTGAAACCCTATCTCTACTGAAAATTAAAAAAAAAAATTAGCTGGGTGTGGTGGCGTGTGCCTGTAGTCCCAGTTACTCTCAGGAGGCTGAGGCAGGAGAATCGTTTAAAGCCAGGAAGCAGAGGTTGCAGTGAGCCAAGATCATGCCACTGCACTCCAGCCTAGGCGACAGAGGGAAAGTCCATCTCAAGAAAATAATAAGTCACCTGAGACTTGTTCCCACTGTACTTACTGCTAAAGGAACCCAAACGGTCCATTCCCTAATAGGCAACGAGTGCTGCTTTGGTCTTCCTCAGCACAGAACTTCTTCAAGACTTCAGAACTGGCCAACATATACAACAAAGCTTTCCTGTGAGCAAACAAAAGTGGCACATGGATCAGAAAATCATTCAAAGGGACACGATAAAGAGAAGGTATGCAACATACTCAGCTCTGCCACATCTTAGCTTTGTAATGCTGAAAAATTATTCTACCTCTGAAAACCTGTTTCTTCCTCTGTAAAGTGGGTATAATGGTGCCTACCTTCCAAAGTTGTGAGAATTAAATGTCATAATCAAATATCATAATCCATATAAATAATGTAGCATGGTACCTGGTCCTTTATAAATGCTGCATATTTCTTTTTTTTATGAAGAAGGATTTGGGTCTGTGGGGCAGGGAGGGTGGAAGGGGCAAATGCTATATATTTCTAATAAACAACTGTTGGCTTTCTCTACTCAGCATCATTTCTCTCCTTAGCCACCATCTTTATTTGGGAAACTGACCCTTCCACATTTCATGTGGTACTGGTGGGGCTGCCAATCACAATACCCCATTCCCCACCCCTGACAAAAGCTAAAGCAACCAGGTCTCTTCTTCCAGAAATCTGGATCTTGAGTAAGACATGAAAGGACAGAAGGCAGCTGGAGCTCAGTCATTCACTAGAATTCATTCCAAGAATTCAGTCCATGTGCTCTGGCTGTTGAGATCCCTAGCCCCAGGTGGCTCAACTGTTTAACTCTTCTCTCATTTCTCTATTTTTAATAAACTTTAATAAACTCAACTTTAATAATAAATCTGAACAAGTTTCTGTAAGTGGAAACCAAAAAACCCTATCTATTACAACATACATTTGTTCCTTACTCTTTCAACAAGTACGTAACAGGGCCAGGCACAGTGGCTCATGCCTGTAATCCCAGCACTCTGGGAGGCTGAGGTGATAGGATTACTAGGGCCCAGGAGTTCAAGACCAGCCTGGGCAACATAGGGAGACCCCCATCTCTTTAAAAAAAAAAAGTTAACTGGGTACAGAGGCCCTTGCCTATGGTCGCAGCTACTCAGAAGGATGAGGTGGAACACTTGGGCCTGGGAGGTTGAGGATGCAGTGAGCCACCACTGCACTCCAGTTTGGAGGACAGACCAAATCTCTTTTTCTTTTTTTTGGATACAGAGTCTGGCTCTGTTGCCCAGGCTGGAGTACTCACTGCAACCTCTACCTCCCAGGTTCAAGGGATTCTCCTTCTCCATTTGGTTCTCATTTTTGTTTCTCGTGTCTTGTGCCTCAGTCTCCTGAGTAGCTGGGATTACAAGCATATGCCACCACCACACCTGGATAATTGTTTTGCATTTTTTGGAGAGACAGGGTTTCACCATGTTGGCCAGGCTGCTCTTGAACTCTTGGCCTCAAGTGATCCGCCCCCCCCCCTTGGCCTCCAAAAGTGCTGGAGTGCTAGGATTACAGGTGTGAGCTGCCATGCCTGACCCAAAGTATCTTCTTTGAAACAGAAATGAAATAATGTTTTACACTAAGTCAAAAAATAACCCCTCTTCTGTACACTCACAGCTGTTTTTTTGGGGTGTGTGTGTGTGTGTGTGTGTGGGTGTGTGTGTGTGTGTGTTTGAGACTAAGTCCTGCTCTTGTTACCTAGGCTGGAGTGCAATGGCACGATCTCGGCTCACTGCAACCTCCGCCTCCCAGGTTCAAGTCAGCCTCAGCCTTCCAAAGTAGCTGGGATTACAGGCGCCGGCCACCATGCCTGGCTAATTTTTGTATTTTTAGTAGAGACGGGGTTTCACCATGTTGGCCAAGCTGGTCTCAAACTCCTGACCTCAGGTGATCTGCCCACCTCAGCCTCCCCAAGTGCTGGGATTACAGGCATGAGCCACAGCGCCCAGCCCACTCACAGCTTTTTATCTAGCATTTTTCACATTCTACTTTGTGAGTATTACTTCTGAATGTGTATTTTACCCCACTTTTAAATTAAGTGAAAGCAGGCTGGGTATGGTAGCTCATGCCTGTAACTCCAGTACTTTGGGAGGCTGAGGCAGGTGAATCTCCTGAGGTCAGGAGTTTCAGACCAGCCTGGAGCAACACAGTGAGACCCCCATCTCTAAAAAATTAGCTTGACGTGGTGGCGGGTGCCTATAATCCCAGCTACTCGGGAGGCTGAGGCATGAGAGTTGCTTGAACCCGGCAGGTGGAGGTTGCAGAGAGCCAAGATTGTGCCACTGCACTCCAGCCTGGGCTACAGTGGAAGATCCTGTCTCAAAAATAAATAATAAATAAATAAGTGAAAGCAGAGAATATATCGGATACATATTTGCATTCTTTTAAAATGCCAAGCATACAGGAGGAATACAATAAACACATAGTAGTGGACCAATAAATGTTAGTTCTACAAAAGGTTAATTCATCTTTAGTTTTTCTGAAGTGATTTTTTTCACCCTGGTAATTTTTAGCTTGGAGAATAATTCATCACTAAGTGTGGGCAACATTCTACTAACGCTGCCGTCAAAGAACTTTTCCTTTTTGGGGTGCGGTAGGTCTCCTTTGCTGTTGTCTCAGGAAAAGTTGAGCTCTGAAGAAAAATGAGTCTAGCAAGGGTGTATTATGAATGCAGCAATCAAATAACAGCCAAATTTACTGAACTTTTTCCATTTGCTAGGTACCCGCGGGTACCTCGGTGTGGGGATTCTTTGAATCCTCACTCCCACACTCCTGAGGCAAGCTGCTTTTTCAAAAGCAAGCAAGCTCTGAAAGAGTATGTTACTTGCGCAGTGTCTTACAAGTAAGGGATAGCAGTGTCATTTCAAACACAGATGTCAAGGCTGGTAGTGGTGGCTCACGCCTGTAATTGCAGCACTTTAGGAGGCCAAGGCGGCAGATCATCTGAAGTCGGGAGTTCCAGATCAGCCAGACCAACACGGAGAAACCCTGTCTCTACTAAAAATACAAAATTAGCTGGGCGTGGTGGCACATGCCTGTAATCACAGGTACTTGGGAAGCTGAGGCAAGAGAACTGCTTGAACCCGGGAGGCAGAGGTTGCTGCGAGCCGAGAACGCGTCGCTGCACTCCAGCCTAAGCAACTCAGGTTGCAAAGTGCAAAACTCCGTTTCAAAAAAAAACAGATGTCCAGTAAAGGATGCAGTCAATATGGACTGATCAACACTCAAAACAGCACAGCAGGAGGCCGGGCGCGGTGGCTTATGCCTGTAATCCCAGTACTCTGGGAGTCCCAGATGGGCAGATCACCTGAGGTCAAGAGTTCAAGAGCAGCCTGGCCAACACAGCGAAACCCCGGCTCTACTAAAAATATAAAAAATAGGCCGGGTGCGGTGGCTCAGGCCTGTAATCCCAGCACTTTGGGAGGCCAAGGCGGGTGGATCATGAGGTCAGGAGATTGAGACCATCCTGCTAACACGGTGAAATCCTGTCTCTACTAAAAATACAAAAAATTAGCCGGGCGTGGTGGCGGGCGCCTGTAGTCCCAGCTACTCGGGAGGCTGAGGCAGGAGAATGGCGTGAACCCAGGAGGCGGAGCTTGCAGTGAGCCGAGATTGCGCCACTGCACTCCAGCCTGGGAGACAGAGCAAGACTCCGTCTCAAACAAAAACAAAAACAAAAACAAAAACAAAAAATAGCCAGGCGTGGTGGCGGGCGCCTGTAATCCCAGCTACTCGGGAGGCTGAGGCAGGAGAATGGCGTAAACCCGGGAGGCGGAACTCCGGGAGGCGGAACTTGCAGTGAGCTGAAATCCGGCCACTGTACTCCAGCCCGGGCGACAGAGCGAGACTCCGTCTCAAAAAAAAAAAAAAAAAAAAAAAAAAAAAAAAGGCCGGGCGCGGTGGCTCAAGCCTGTAATCCCAGCACTTTGGGACGGGCGGATCACGAGGTCAGGAGATCGAAACCATCCTGGCTAACACAGTGAAACCCCGTCTCTACTAAAAATACAAAAACTTAGCCGGGCGAGGTGGCAGGCGCCTGTAGTCCCAGCTACTCGGGAGGCTGAGGCAGGAGAATGGCGTGAACCCGGGAGGCGGAGCTTGCAGTGAGCTGAGATCCGGCCACTGCACTCCAGCCTGGGTGACAGAGCGAGACTCCGTTTCAAAAAAAAAAAAAAAAAAAAATTGTAGGGCCGCGCGCGGTGGCTCACACCTGCAATCCCAGCACTTTGGGAAGCCAAGGCGGAAGGATCACTTAAGGTCACGAGTTGGAGACCAGCCTGGCCAACATGGTGAAACCCCACCTCTACTAAAAATACAAAAATTAGCTGGGCGTGGTGGCACGAGAATCGCTTGAGCCTGGGAGGCGGAGGTTGCAGTGAGTTGAAATCGTGCCACTGCACTGCACTACAGCCTAGGAGAAAATAAAAAAAAAAAAAAAAGCAAAAAAAGCACAATATTGCAGTCTGCAGAACCTTCTTTCTCCTCCTTTCACAAGAGACCACATTCTGACACCAACTTCCGTGGAAGCACAGGAGCCAGCTCCAAACTAACAATCGCCAAATTCGAATCAGTTACCGGGTGAAGTGAGACACTATGCCGGGCAGAAGTCCACGTGGGGAGGAGAAAAGGCGCAGGCTCCGGAGGTGTGGAGCCAACGTTCAAATCCTTACGAGGTGGGACCGGCCTGGGCCAGTCATTTTACCTGCGCCTCGGCTCTAACAGGGTACTGAAATACCTACTTTGGAGGGCCTGCTAAGAAATTCAAATGGTCTGGTCAGGGGCATCACGCACAGTGGCCGTCCTTGGTAGAGCCACGGGCTCCAGGGCTGAGCGTGGAATGGCGAGGCTGGGGCACTGCGGCACCGCCCAGACGCGGGGCGGGCACCAGGGGTCAGGCCGGGTCCCGCGCCGCCCTCCCCCACAGCGCGGCGAGGCCCGGCACCACCCGCCCGCCAGCCCGGCGCGTCCCGCCCGCCGTTGAGGCCCGCAGCCCGCGCCTCCTCCCCTGGCGCACCTCGCGGCCCCCGCTTCCCCGTAGTCCCGCTAGAGGGGCTCGCTCCCCGCCACCCGCCAGCCCAGCGCTGCCTGGCGCCTCACCTCGCCGAGTCCCCCTAATCCGCGCCAAGGAGCCGCCGGTCGCGCGCGCCTCCGGGCTTTGCGTGCGCGCCCCCGGGCGGCGCAGTGGCGAACGCGCTTCGTGCCGCGCGCCCGCCGCCTCCGCCCCTCGGCTGTGGAGGCCCCCAGCGGGTGCTGAGCGCCAGCCGCCGCCCCCTTGGCCTTTTCCCGGCCACCGCCCGGCGCCCGTCGCTGTCCCTGTGCCTGAGGACTGGGAGGATGGGGCTAAGCCGCTTGCCTGACTTTTGATCCGCCAAGTAATCACTTTGTCCGTGTGGCGCGTGGCCCGTTGCCGGAGGCTTCCCAGCGCGTGGGGCCGTTTGGTCCCCTCCGGAGTGCGGTGAGGCGGGCCAAGCCGGGACTGCCTGGGTTTGGGGATAACGTTCCCACCCCCACCCCTGTTGCAGCAAGGGAAATTGAGGCTGAGGGAACTGGGCCCAGGGACGGCGAGCCGTGGCTGCCTCTCCAGTCCGGGCCCTGAAGGGCTGCTCGTGGATGAACCAGACTGATTTTTAAGGGGTGAAGAGGGTGCGTTTCAATCAGATGCTTCTGGAACGTCGAAATTGTCTTCTTTGGAAAGAACCATCCCCTCTTTGGGCTTCAGAGGCCCAAATTGAGGCGCGATGATGAGAGGATGTGGTGGTCTACTCTGATGTCAATCTTGAGGGCTAGGTATGTCCCAACATCTCTTATTACTGCTGCTAATGATGATTCTAATAGCTACCATTTGTCGAGTACTTGTTGCATGCCAGACGTTGCACAAAGCAGGTTACACATATGGTCTCATTTAAAACTTGTGAGGTAGGCACCTGTTGTTATCCCCATTTTCCAGGTGAAGAAATCTAGGCACTGACATATAACTTGGAATCACACTGCTAGGAAGTACTGGGGAAGGGAAATCAAACCATGGTTTATCTCAAGTATGTAGCTGTTACATCTATTTAGAAGTCTGCCTTTGATAAATTTGCCCAGCCATTTTTAGAATCCACTTACACTTTATGCCTGTGTGAACCCTTTCATTCTTTTTTGGTATATGCATAATACAAGTTCATTTTTTTTTTTTTTTTTTTTTTTTTTGAGACGGAGTCTGGCTCTGTCGCCCAGGCTGGAGTGCAGTGGCCGGATCTTGTATTTAACCTGTCATAGCAAAGATGACTAAGTGCCTTATTCCCTCACTAAATATCTCTGTAAAGGAACCTGAGAAACCACCTTTTTTCCTCTTTAAGCTGTAAATTTATATTAATAATATCCAAATCCATGTTGAACCAGTATTTTTGAAGATTGACCTTCAGGATAAACTAATAGCACAATCTTCATGCCCTTTCATTCTTAACTAACTGAAAAGGTTGACTTTTGTACTAGGAACCCAACGAAGAAAACTTGCATCTTGTCAAGCTAGGTAACCTGGCTGCCATTAACTGAGACCAAAATATCCCAGCAGTTTGTCCTCAGCTGCTAAGCTGCTATGGTTAGAATCAAAAGTAGAGTTTCTGGCCTGGTGCGGTGGCTCATGCCTGTAATCTCAACACTTTGAGAGTCCTAGGTGGGAAAATTGCTTGAGCTCAGGAGTTCAAGACTAAACTGGGTAACATAGTGAGAGTTCGACTCTACAAAAAAATCGAAAAATTAACTGGGCATGGTAGCACACGCCTGTGGTCCCAGCTACTTGGGAGGCTGAGGTGAGAGAATTACTTGAGCTTAGACAGTTGAGGCTATAGTGACACGTGATTGTGCCACTTTACTCCAGCCTGGGCAACAGAGTGAGACCTCATCTGGAGGAAAAAAAAAAAAAAAAGGTGAAGAGACAACCTACGGAATGGGAGAAAATATTCATGATCCCTACATCAGATAAGTGGGCAAGGGCCCGAAAAGACATTGCCCAAAAGAAGACATGCAAGTAGCATGGGAGGCCGAGGCGGGTGGATCACCTGAGGTCAGGAGTTTGAGACCAGCCAGGCCAACCTGGTGAAACTCTGTCTCTACTAAAAATACAAAAATTAGCTGGGCATGGTGGTGGGCACCTGTATTCCCAACTACTCAGGAGGCTGAGGCAGGAGAATCACTTGAACCCAGGAGGCAGAGGTTGCAGTGAGCCAAGATCGCGCCATTGCACTCCAGCCTGGGTAACAGCGAGACTCCGTCTCAAAAAAAAAATAAAAAAGAAGACATGCAAGTAACTAACTGGTATGTGGAAAAAAATGTTCAACATCACTAATCATCAGGGAAATGTGAATTAAAACTACCATGAGATATCACCTCACACCTGTCAGAATGATGATTATAAAAAAGCGAGATAAGCATTGGCAAGGATGTGGAGAAAAACCCTGTACACTGTCAGTGGGAATGTAAATTAGTACAGCCATTTTGGAAAATAGTATGGAGGTTCCTTAAACATTTTTAAATAGAACTATAGAACTACCATATGATCCAATAATCCACTTCTGGGTATATATCCAAAGGAAGTGAAATCTGCATGTCAAGGTATCTGTACTCCCATATCCATTGCAGCATTATTCACCATAGCCAAGACATGGAAACAGCCTACATGTACACCAATGGATGAATGAATAAACAAAATGTGAGATATATATATATATGTGTGTGTATGTGTGTGTATATATGTATATATATGTATGTGTATATATATACACACACATACATATACACACACACACACACAATGGAATACTGTTCAGCTTTAAAAAATAAAGAAAGCCTGTCATTTGCAACAACATAGATGAACCTGGAGGACATTACACTAAGTGAAATAAGCCAGGCACAGAAAGACAAATACTGCTTAATCTCACTTATGTGTAGCATCTAAATAAGTCAGGCTCATAGAAGTAGCAGAATAGAGGTTACCAGGGGATGAGAGAGAAAGAACTGGAAGATTTTGGCCGAAGGATACAAAATTTCAGTTAGACAGGAGGAATAAGTGCAGGAGATCTATTATACTATATGGTGACTATAGTTAAAAATATATACTTGAGGCCAGGTGCTGTGGCTCACACCTGTAATCCAAGGACTTTGGGGGGCCAAGGAGGGTGGCTCATCTGAGGTCAGGGGTTTGAGAGCAGCCTGGCCCACATGGTGAAACCCCATCTCTACTAAAAATATAAAAATTAGCCAGGCGTGGTGGTGCATAACTGTAATCCCAATTGCTCAGGAGGCTGAGGCATGAGAATCACTTGAACCTGGAAGGCAGAGGTTGCAGTGAGCCAAGATTGCACCACTGCACTCCAGCCTGGGCAACAGAGCAAGACCCTGTTACAAAAACAAAAACAAACAAACTATATATATGTGTGTGTATATATACGTATATATGTGTATATATGTGTATATATATATACACGTGTGTGTGTATATATATATACACACTTGAAAATTGCTAAGAGAGTAGATTTTGATTATTCTTACCACACAAAAATATAAGTATTTGCGGTAATGGGTATATTTTGCGGTAATGGATATGTTAATTAGCTTGATTTAGCCATTCCACAATGTGTATGTCTATCAACACATGTTGTACATCATGAATATACACAATTTTTATTTGTCAAAAAGTGTTTATGCCATAAGTAAATTAAATAAAATATATTTCTTAGAATGTTATTTATAAAAACAAAGCAAAAAAACAGATCTGTCCAAATATAACTAATAAACTGACTCTCATTATTTAACACTCAAGAGTTGGCTGGTATCAGGACTTTCATAATGCCACGGCCATTAAACAGTTTTCGTGAATCCAGACCTTCATTACCCATCTCTTCTGCTTCTCCCTCACCTTATGGACTTCTTTCTCATGTACATAGAGTGCAGAATATCTGTCTCATGAGTCACCAGCCTTTGGGCAGAACCCAAAAAATTAGATGAACTAGAAACATATTGTCGCTAAGTGGCTCCGTTTATCAGACAATTCTAAAATGCCTACTAGGCTGCCTAGCTGCATACTTTTCCGCCTAATGTACAGGACCTCCACCTTGTGACTGTCAAAACAGGCTCCTAAATTATTTTGCATCATTTGGTGACAGGCAGTCTATACTCTTTTGCAACCAACAAGTAACCAATAAATGTTTGGAATATACAAGGAACATGGCATTGTTTAATATAATTGAAAAAGCAAGCTTGGACTTTGAAACTTTCCTGAATTTGAATTCTGTCTCCACTCCTTAATCACCTTTAAAAATTTAGGGCATGACGCGGTGGCTTATGCCTGTAAACACAGCACTTTGGGAGACCGAGGCGGGCGGATCACTTGAGATCAGGTGTTTGAGAACAGCCTGGCCAACATGGTAAAACCCCATCTCTACTAAAAATTTAAAAAATTAGCCGGGCTTGGTGGTGCATGCTTATAATCCCAACTCCTTGGGAGGCTGAGGCAGGAGAATCGCTTGAACCCAGGAGGCAGAGTTTGCCGTGAGCCAAGATCCCACCATTGTACTCCAGTATGGGCAACAAGAGTGAAACTCCATCTGAAAAAAAAAAAGAATTTAGGAAAGTTATTATCTTCCTGCATCTCTTTTCTCCTCCTATGTAAAATGAAAATAATAATGTCTAATTCATAAGAGTTTCATAAGGATATGATGAAAGCCCGATGCAGTAGCTCACGCCTGTAATCCCAGCACTTTGAGAGGCCGATGTGGGCAGGTCACTTGAGGTCAGTAGTTCAAGACTAGCCTGGCCAACATGGTGAAACCCCGTCTCTACTAAAAATACGAAAACTAGCTGGGCGTGGTGGCATGCACCTGTAATCCCAGCTACCCGGGAGGCTGAGGTGTAAGAATCACTTGAACCCGGGAGGCAGAGGTTGCAGTGAGGCATGATCGCTCTGTCCCCGACTCTAGCCTGGGGGACAGAGCGAGACTCAGTCTAAAAAAAAAAAAAAAGGAGGGGGTGAGATGATATATGTGTGTATACTACTACCTTGTTCATGGTGGGAGTCAAATACATATAATTTTAATTCTAGAAGTGCTCCACAGGATCATCCTGGGGCTTATTTAGAAGTTGTTCTAGGTAGGTTAACTAGTGCTCAGCATAGAATTTTTCATTGTTTAAATAAA